TTTTTTACTCATCCTAACAGATGAACTCAAGGTCGTCTCCATTAGCACCAAAAAGGTTCATATTTAAATGTGTAAACCTTATTTTATTACAGAAGTGAAATAATTTAGATGACTAACTACTGTGAGTCTAAACTGCAGTTCATAATTAGTTCTAACCATATGAGACTTCATCCATGACCTTTGTAGTAACGCTTATCTAATCGATCCTTTTATATTGTAAGCTAGTGTGAAGCTCTAGAAAAGGTGCCGCTCCTCCTCGTGTTAGAGCCACACCAGCTATCATGCCGAGTACCCACAAACCTGTGGGGGCATTGTTAGGATCGGGAGTTGCTGCTGTTGGTCAAGTCAGAGTTCAGCAACACTAAAAAAAATTAGGTCACCTGACTCCTGACTGAAGATCAGCAGTTTTTTGCTTGCTGATGGCATAGATTCATGGCAGATTTCATCATCAGGCTCCAACTGTGACATTCAGGGAGGACAAGTTGTTTTGTTTTTTTACACACGCCCACCACAGTCCAAACTGTAACCTCAGTGGCAATCTTTAGGATGTGCTGCTGAAGACTTTACTCAGTGGTTCAACTCTCCAATCATTATCAATACTTAAAAACTACTCGGCAAAAGAAAAATGCAACAAACTCAAACTGAAATAAATCTGACATTGGAGAGGCGAGTCAAGGAGGCCATTTATGTAAAAAGGAACAAGCCTCTCTAAGAGTACATCTTTCAGTGCAGTGATTGCAGCCATTTCCCAATTGTCTGTACTCATGGACATTGATTAATGGTCATGGCAGTTTGCATATCAACAACGATGAAAGTGATCTCAATGCTCATTGTTATGCAGCGGCGCTGCTTTGGATTGTTATGCATGTGTATTGTTTATAAGGCTGGGGAAACCTGCAGTCAGCTGAGACTGTGTAAGTCACTTAGATGAGTGAGGAAATGTTTCCCCCCACTGAAAACGCTGCATCCAGATGAGCAGAATCAACTTTCTGGGATTGCATAAGCTTATTATAATCAACGCTACAGTGAATGCTCGCCTTTATTAAAGCTAAAGGCGGTCCACCAAAGTAGTCTTGTGTATGACTTCTTTCTTTTTTTGGCCGGGCACTGTATATTGAGATCAATGCATTACAGTATTAAAGGAGACAGATGTTTAAAAAAAATCAATTCATCCATCTGCGCTGGTGGGAAGTCTCTGGGCTCCCGGTGAATGACCAAGCTCTTTTTCCTAAGGTGAGTTTAAACACTCCAGAGAAAGTTCATTTGTGGTATACACCAGAAATTGAGAATTATTTTGTCAAAGACATAACAAATATTATAATGAATTAATTTAAAGGAATGAGGACGCTTTCATATTTACACTGTAAATGTTGAATCTAAGATTTGGCGAATCAGTTTGATGCTGTGGCTTCAAAGTCTGTAAAAAATCTTAAGGATGAAAGAAAATTTGACATTTCAGAGTAAAAAATATTTTTGTAACTCTAAGATATCCTTATTAAATATATTCTTTATTGAAGTATCGCTTGATCAGTCCAAAGTACAGAATCTGCGGCACAGTTGGCAGCAGGAGGCGATGCGTCTGGAGTTGCCCTTTACTCCTAAATTTCATATTTGGATGAAGCAACAGTCCTGCAATACTAAATCTGTCAAATGCTCAGTCCAATCAGCAGTCCAATGATTGGTAAGTAGGACCAAAGGAATGTATTGAGAAGATGTGGAGCTTGGTCACATTGAATGTAATAACCTGATGCTGAATCTGAAATACCAGAGTCCAGTCAATAGGGAACCCTGCAGGCAGTGAGCAGGTCAATATCAGAGTTTACACTGAAAAAATGTGGGTCTGTTAGAAAGCA